GGTTTCTATAGATGAATACTGCACAGTTTGACGGCTTCATTTTTCGACTGTGCTCTATTTACTGTGTTTGATTTGTTCTCCCTTGGGTCGTAAGTACTGATTCGGCTCAGTCTTCTCTGCTGAACTTCTTGATTTGGTCTTCTGTTGGCTGTTCCTCCACTAAGGGATATTTTTATTGCCTTCTCACTGCCATTCAAAAGGTGTACAGAGGGGAAATTTCCAAAAAGGATGGTTATTCCAAGTGTCCTCTTTGTTTGGGGGAGAGACACAAGGTTGGATTATGTCCTCATTGCCAAGCCTTTATGCCTCAGGTTGTGCATAACAGTGATTTGTGCCTTAAGGTCCTTTTTTATGAGCACATTTTCAGCTCAGGTAGAGAAAAATAACCTTCTCTATATGGTCTCGTTAAGTGGTGATGGGATACAGCTCAGAATTGCAAGAATTGATCTTAGACTTGATGGTGTCAAAATCTTCAATAAGTATTGTCCTTAAAAGATCCTTTCCAGAGACCCCTTCTTAACCTTCAGACATGGATTGTACTCCTTCTGAGGCCACAGTTCAAGTTCTAATCCCTTCTACATTGGGAAATCCCCTCCATCTGGGAAATGTTTCAGTGCAGGCTTGTTTTTCAGATGATCTGCTGGTGTGGTCTGTTACATTTAGAAGCCTAAATATAAGCACCAAAACAAGAAAAAGAAGCCAAAGGATCCTTCTCACTATTTGGAGTGTATGTCTATGCCTCCATCCAAATGCATCCCTTCTCCATCCCATTTGGAGAAGAGCCTGGTGCCATCAATATTTGTCCATTCTCGACATTATTTGACTAGGAGGGTTTCAGACAATAATACTTCCCCGTTAGTAGTGGTAGAGACAGCTTTGGATAGTGAAATTGTAGATCCTCATCAAGAGAATAGATTGAGACTCTTCAAATGCCCATTCAGGCTACACAATTTGCTCTAGAAGGGCTGTCTGTGCCCAGTTGAATTGAACTGCCCTACTTTTGCCACCAGTTCCAACTTCTTAGTGCCACTCTGTTCACTGTCGCCCTTGCATCTCTTGTCAACTGATTTGATCTCCTTATACTCCTTTCAATTTCATAGCCCTCATTCCCCATGTTGTTTGCCAGCCCTTCATTGGCAAGAACCTTTGGGTTCAAAGCACTATCGTCATTTGTTTGGATCTCCATTTTATCTTTCACTTTTGATGAGATATATACTACAGGGTTTTTGTGTGTTTTTCAGGCTGTTTGGCCATGTTCCAGAAGCATTATCTCCTGGCATTTTGCCTGCATCTGTGGCTAGCATGGTCAGATCCTCAGAGGAACTTCTGAAGATGCCAGGCACAGATGAAAGCAAAACATCAGGAAAGAATGCTACTGGAACATAGTCATACAGTCCGAAAAACTCAAAGCAACCCAATGATTCTGGCCATGAAAACCTTTGACTACTCATGCTATTGTTGATATCATGTCATTATTATCATGTCATCATTATCATGGTGCTGGGCATTCTCAGTATCACTTTAATTTTTTCTTGACAATGGTTTTTCCTCGATATCAATCTTTGTCTAGAACCCATTCCCCATCTCATAGGCAGCTTCTATCTTGTAGTTGGTCTTCAATTCAACAGTCTTCTCAACATCCATATTGAAGGGATAAGCATAGTTGCTTAAATAGAGTCAGATATTCCCTTGGCTTCTAACTATGAAGCCAAAGAGGGGTTGGTTTCAGCAACATCATCTATTGCTGATGCTCGCAGACACTAACCCATTGCTTAGGTTTGAAGATACTCTGTTTCATCCAGTTTGGAGAGAGACACTGACTCCTCCTCATCTTCATCTTGTAGATTTTTCATTAGGTCTCCTATAATCTTAATAGGGAACTATGTTTCTCTCTCTCTCTCTCACTGATGGCATATGATCTTTTGTGGACCAGATATTGCACATAAATAAAACCTTGAATCTGACTGTGCAGCATAAAATTCAACATTACATGCTGACACTTGCTTCCCTTCCAGTTCTCCCTTATCTATTACAGATAGCCAGAAAATAATGGTCTGTGATTTTGTCAGTTTCGTCCACTTGAAAAAACTTAATGGCCTCCACAGAGTTGTTGAAGCTGTTACTACCTGGCTGATGCACCATCCCAAGGCCGACTCTATTATTAATGAGACTACCCAATCTAAAATTTCCCAAAAGATTTATTTAACATCCACTGAAAAGGAAGGAAAGAATCTTGACAATATAAGGAAGGCATTTTACTTTACAGCTTCTCCCTCCTTCCAGATGTCTAATTATGCCACCTGCATAGGTACCTATCAACAATTCCTGTGGGGGAAACTGTATTTGGCTAAGGTATTGGGTAAAAGACTGGAGGATTGCTTCTATCTTGCTGTCTGAAGCTCACCAGTTGGTAAATCAGAAGATTATGGCATTTTGATGTCTGGCAGACTGTTGTGCTAAGGCTTTGTCTGGGATGGTTGTCCTTAAACAACATGCCTGGTTGTGATCCTCATGCTTCTTATAGAATCATAGAATTATAGAATCATAGAGTTGGAAGAGATCTCATGGGCCATCCAGTCCAACCCCCTGCCAAGAAGCAGGACAATCACATTCTTGCATTGAGGACTTCCCTTCCTTTTCAGTAGTCAAACTGAAGAAAAAATGGAGCATGCAGATAACATGTGTACTATCATGAAGGTTCAGTCTTCAACCCCATGTCCAGGGTACTCTTGTTTCTCCTTGATATTATCAACCGTTGACGCACCAGCATAGCCTTGGCAACATTCAGCAACATAAGTACGCACCATTGTTTCTCAAGTTATCTTTCCAAAAAGAGGTATTTGGGAGGAAGATACAAGCCAAAACAATATGCAAATTCCATCATACTTGGACTTCCATTACCTTGGATTCATGGATCCCCAATATCATCACTAGAGTTCATGCTGTATAAAGCTATCTTTTGGGGTTTTGTTTGCACGACTCCTCCTTTCACACTAGAAGATGAGGTGGAGACTGCTTTTAAAAATAGCGATCAAGGCTGTCTCACTCACTGTATTGTTTCTCTCTCTCCTGATACTTCATTGTGTCCAAGAAGGATGAAGGATTGCATTCCATTCTAGATGTTCAAGATGCCCAATCCAAACATTTCAGAATGTCTCCTTTCATTTCCATCCACCTCAATGGAAATTGGAGTTCATTATGTCTTAACTTTTCAGGGGGCTCAGCCATACCTATGTTTTCTTTAAGATAAAGCTTTCTTGAGATCAGACATACCTTTTTGTCTAAAGCAGTATTAATATTCCATCTCAATCAAGACATCATCTTGCTTGTGTTGATGAAGAATCCTACTTCTGAAATGGAACAGAGTTTAGACAGACTCTCATTTTTTATGTAGCTAGAACATCAGGTTTTCATACTTTTCAGAAACTATATATGTGTGCTATTCTTTGTTGATGCGAGGAAGGGCTTACCCATATCAAATCTGAATTTGTTGACGTGACTTTTGTTACCTTGCTCATGAACTTGTCAAGAGGGCACTCTCTGTTGGTAAACACAAGACTATTCCATGAGAGCCATGGCTTGTCATTGGCCTTTCTGAGGGGGAGTCCCCATGGATGATGTATGTAGAGTGGCTACTTGGTCACAGTCTTCAACCTTCCTTTCCCATTACAGACCGGACATTCATTTCAGAATCGATGCTACTGTTTGATACTCATGTTTGTCATGACGGTCCATCTAGATTGCTAGTCTCCCATTTTGTGAATCACAGAGACCATGAAGAAGAACAGGTTGCTTATCTGTATCTGTGGTTCTTTGAGTGGTCGTATGTGAACCCATCCCTCTCTCACATTTGTCCTACCAATCCTTAGTTCCTTGGACTGCTGCATCGGTGTCCATGTTTAGGTGGGAAGCCTATATAATGGTGCTTGGAGTAGACGGGGCTTCCATCAAAAATGATGCAGCGTTCAGACACTTATAACCCATTTGTATGAGTTCACAGATGACCACTTGAAGAATCACAGTTACAGGTAAGCAACCTGCTTATTTGTTGTCATTCATGATGTGCTCATCCACGCACACACACAGAATATTATTGTATTTATTGATTTTCTTCTTTTTTCAGATTCTTCTATACTCAGTGTATAAATTTTAGGGTGTGTTGCTTAAAGTAGTTTTGTTTGTCCTTCTTCATGATTATCTTTTACCTGCTTGTTGCCTATCCATGTCCTTTCGGTCACGTGCTAATGTTGCTTGGCTGTTATCATCTGTGAAATGTTGGAGGGTATGTATGAGCATAACTGGCTGAGTGTTGGCTTTTTCTTTTATTGTGTTTTTAATTGTGTTATGAACATTATTTATGTTTATTTGTTGTTATGATATGTTTTAACCACAATTTTATTTTAAATATGTCTTGTATTATTAGTTCAGTTGTGCAGGGGGTTTTCTTGGTGGAAAGGTAGGGGTTTCAGTTAATTAATTTACCAAAACAAAGGACCCTATGGAGCTGTAAGTAGTTTTTTCCCCATAATAATAATAATGTGCAAACTTTACAAGGAAACTGAGGTTTATTTGGAGAGAACAGCATAAGTTTTTGCACAGCTGCAATATTATTGTGGCTTTGTTAAACTTCATTTAATTTTTAAACTATCTATAATACATGTATGTTGCTTTTGCCCATAGAAGTAAAGTACAAAATATAGCACATTAGGATTAAATACCTTTTGTGGAAACATCAGTAATTATAGTTCTTAAAATTCTAATATTTTAAGACATTCTATTTTTAAAATAGGTGCCAGTAAAATTATATAATCCAGGACATTAATTAAGCATAGATATTTCATTAATACTTTTAGTGTAGTAGAAATTTGATCTAGATAAAGGTTATAGAGAATGCAAGAGTGAGTTTTGTGTTTACTGTCCAAGAAGACAGGGAGAGAGGGCTGCAGGCAGGATTTGTATTCTAGTACACTGCACTCAGTTGTGCAAACTTATCTTTTTAGGGTCAAAGAAGAACAAAAACCACAAGGGACACAGTAAGTAAAAAAATCTTTAAAGTGCAGTGGGCTTAACTTCTCTACCTTTACCATATCCTGCTTTCTGCACCTTTTATAGTACTAGATTTAACTAATACCTGATAGACTGCGGTTAGTCATCTGCTTTCTGACTGGCTTGTAAGAGCTGCCTGCAGCTTCTTACTTCATCCACATTTTAGTTGGATGTAGTTTCTTGCTACCTGCTTGTGGACTATTTAAGTGTAAATCTTTATTTTCCTTACATCCTTTTAGTGGCTGACTTAATTGCAGTGAACATTCCCATTGGCTGTAGCTTTTCTGCCTTTCTATGACTATTACTGTTGGGTAATATAGCATTTATGTTAGTGTGAATTTATTTGGTTATTCAGTCACATTATTTGCTTATTTGAACAGGTGGTTTCCCTTTAGTGGAATCACTGAGCTGGTAAATAACGTTCTTCAGCCACAGCAAAAACAACAAAATGAAAAGGAGCCCCAGACGTAAGTAAGCTATGTGTAGATTTAGTATTGATGTAGCATCAAAACATACCAAAAAGTTTGTTTCAATAATAACATCCTACAAAATAACATCTCACAAATGAAGGCTGCAAGCCAATTGATACATTACTGGGAAGTAAGTTTCATTGAATTCAGTGTGACTTACTACTCATTTAACATTTAGAGGGAAGGTTGTATAACTTATATTGTTTGTAGAGTTTCCATTGGGAAAGGAAATGGGCAGAGCTTTGTTTGGTTGATCGGAGCACCTTCTGCTCTGAGCCAGATCAGCTATCATGAATTACATGTTAAAAAACTTCTTAAAAATTGATGTGTTTGAAATGGACAAGAGCCTGAATCTTTCAGACAAGGAGTGTGGGTTTTCAAGATGTTCATTTGGACTAAATATTTACTTACATCATCATTGTGTCATTCTTTCACAATATCTGTCAAGTTGAAAGACTTTCACAGATATGGTTTTTATGGTTTTTGTTTCTTGGAGTCATGCATGGATGGCTGTTCCTTGAGGAGAACCATATGATCAAAGACCTCATCCGTTCAGTTGAAAAATATGATGATTATGAGAGAAATGGCAAAGCTAGAAGAATCAAATTTAAGGGTTTTTTAATCATTGGAGAATTAGGCATTAGGGATTTTGAAAACAGAACGTACAATCCTATGTATTATATCTGAGATTGTTTAAATTGTTCTTAAACTAATGGGTAATGAAACTGTTTAAAGATTAGATGTGGTTACATATTGGTAATCAAATAATTGCTCTGGAATTCTAACATAAATTATATCTGTATTAGTAATATGATGACTAAAGAAGACACTATACCATATATACTCATGTATAAGCCTACCTCATTTATAAGTTGAGGACAGATTTTGGAACCAAAATTATAGATTTTGATTTGACCCATGGATAAGGTGAGGTAATTCTGCAGAGAAGGGAAAGTACCAGTGCCATCTTAGAAGGGCAGCTGCCCCTCTCTGCTGGTGCCATTTTCCCACCCAGACATTCAAAAAAGCCAGAAGTGGGGTCTCTGCTGAGAGGGGGGGGGGCTCTGCTTTTGCTTGCCTTTTGCTATTCTACTTAGAGAAGGGGATGGTTCCTTTTTGATAAGATAAGGTACATTACCCACATTGACCTGTCTGTAAGTCGACTTAGGGTTGATTTTTTGAACTAAAATATCTAGACATGAGTATTCATTAGTATATAGGGTACTATCCTGGTCAAACACTTATACTGGTGGGTATGAGTTATTCTCTGGTACTTTCTAAAGGAGGTTGGTCACATTTCCTGCTTTGAACACAGACTTTAACTTATTTCTTCAATGTATTTAAATAATAAAAAATTATAATAATACTATATTTGTAGACCACCCTATCTCTCCAAAGGGACCCAGGGCAGTTTCCACCATGTATGGCAAACATTCAATGCCAAAAAAGAAAAAAAAATAGACAAATTACATCAGAACAAACCATATTGAACAATGTAAAAGCAAACATACTTTAAACTTGATAACAAAGTAATTGACAGTAAGAACTTAAAAACCCCATATAGATATAACAGTTAATATAAATTTAACACTAAATAAAAACTATGAACAATAGCTAAAACCATTATAAAAGATGACATGAAGTGCAACAACCAACAGGCTGAGGTCAGTTCCAGTCTCTAGAGAAAATGTAACATATCTAGGTGGGAGTATAAGGCAAGCATGTTAGTCTTCCTCCTCTCCATACGCCAAAGTCCTTAAGTGAGTTTTTAGCAGTTTTTTGAAAGCAAGGAGAGAAGGAGCAGTTTTTAATTTGCTTGGGAGGGAGTTCCAGAGGCAGGGACCAATCACGGAGAAGGCCCCATCTCTTGTTCCCACCAGCTGTGCTTGTGATGAAGGTGGGACTGAGAGCAGGGCCTCCTCTGTGGATCATAAGGCTCAGGTCAGTTTGTATATGGAGGTGTGGTTCTGCAAATAGTCTGGGCCTGAACTCTTTATACACGTATATTGTACAAAAGCTCTATGGTTTTACAGTCAGATGTTGCAATCCAGTATACATGCAAGTACTAGCTGAGGCATGAATCTTGAACCAAACGTTTTGAAAAGCTCTGTGTAGATTTAGAATGCAATTTATATTTATGTATGTATGTATTTACAGAGAAATATACAGTCATGTAAGAATTTTCATTTTACCACTTCATAAGTACTTACCACACATTTAGGGGAAAGTAATTGGATTTTACAACTTGTTTATTGTCTTTAGATAAATTTGTATCAGTAAAAACTCAAGTTGTGTTTCAAAATTATATGTTCTTCTTGCTAGGTTGCGGGCAAACCATTCTACATGAGTGTAGTTGGATCTTTTTTGTTTTCAAAAGAAATGTTTCTGATTCCCTCTCAGTTTAAAATTGGTTTCGCTCAAAACTGAAGTTTCCACAAAAACATTTAATGCTGCACTCATATGTGAACATTACTGATCAAAAAAGATAATTCACAGTAGCAATGAATACGCAGATACATTTTTGTTCATTTTGTTCTATGTAAAATACATGTATGATTAAATGATATGATTTTTTGTAACTTTGGGTTATAATTTGTACATGGAATGGTGATTTAAGTCTTTAGGTTGAATCTTTGCAGAAGGACCAGGGTTCTTGAAATGGGCTATGCATGGGATAGCAACTTCCATGAAAATTATGGTACAAAACATGGTATCATCATGGTAATGTTTAAAAAATATAAAACCATTCTTTTAGAGATATCCTTTCACGTGTGTTGATTTAGTTGCTGAAACTACATACATTTAAAAATACCCATGTGAAAGATATATAAGGTTAATTGTGTGGAATAGAAGGAGTAATTGGTAGCTCAGTGATCTCAAACTTTAGTTCTAAAACGTACAATGGGCACATCTATGCTGACCACTTGAGTTAGTCCAAATTGGTATTGAATAAAATAGTTTTGCTGTGCCAATGATTATATAGGAAATCCTGGAATCCGTTTGAGGCACGAATGATTATTACACAAGGCGCAGAGTACTGATGTATATTAAGAGCTTCCTTTTGAATGCTTTCCTGGGCATTTGTGGTCTGGCTGCTGAATTTTGAAGCCAGCTTTGAACTGCATTAAATGGTCAGCATAGATGGGTCCCCAGTCTGTTATTTATAGCTTGTCTGTTGAAATAAAAGCAAGTTTACACAAGTTTAGTCATTCTTAATGTCACATGAATGAATAACAATGTTGCCTAACATATTTTATTGGTTTTATTTATATTCCCCCTTTCTGCTGAGATGGAACCCTATTTGACTCTCTCATCATTCTCCTCCATCACACACCATTTTAGGCTTCCACTTAAATCCCCACTGTGATACCCTGTCTACTCCCGGATTCTGTACCAGCGTCTCACATCCATGAGTTTAAAATCCTCTATGGCCTTGATCCCAACTACCCTTTTCTCTAGTCTTATACCCACTTAGATCTTTGCCTATGATATTTGTTCACCCAGCTCAACCACCTCCCCCTGTCCAAATTTCTTCTGTAAGCAATTCCAGCTGTCCTTTCTCATTTGTTGTTTCTTATGCCTAGGACTACCTGTAAGAACACTTCCATTATATCTGCATCTTTGTACCTCCGCATTGCTTCACAAAGCACACCTTACATGGGATCAACCCTTGCATCCTATATCCTATTGTAGCGAGAAATAAATAAATAAATAAATTAAAGTATGCTAATAATAACAATACTCTCATATTGTTCTCTTCCTTCCTTTCCATTATTTTACTTTCCTTTTGGTTGATTTGTAGATTGAAAACTACATAGGGAAGAAGTTTTAAAAAATATTTTGTATAACAGCACTAGGAACCGTGGTGGCGCAGTGGGTTAAACCACTGTGGAAATTTCTGATTGAAAGGTCGGCAGTTTGAATCCCGTTGTTAGCCCCAGCTTCTACCAACCTAGGAGTTCGAAAACATGCAAATGTAAGTAGATTGATAGGTACCACTCCAGCAGGAAGGTAACGGTGCTCCATGGAATCATGCCGTCCACATGATCTTGGAGGCGTTTGCAGACAACGCTGGCTCTTTGGCTTAAAAATGAGATGAGCACTACTCCCCAAGTTGGACTCAACTTGACTTAATGTTACAGGGAAACCTTTACCTTTATAACAGCACTATATAAACCAATCATCAAGTTTATAAATGCTTTAATATGGTTTATGTTTATTTGGAATCTATAGGCAAATTGTAGGAAGTTCTACATGATTTGGGTCCAGGTTATCTACAGGATTGACTTCTCTGGTATAATCCATCCTGGACATTTAGGTTCTTTGTGAGATGCTTAATTCAACCAGCCAGAACCTGACTCGGAACAGTCACCCTAGAGGATCTTTTCATTGGCTGCCCCTAGATTGTAGAATGACCTGCCAGAAAAACTCTGACAGCTAAATGAGCTGTCAGCCTTTAAGTCAAAGTTAAAGACCTATCTCTTCTAGCAGACCAACCCAGTCAATTTTAAACTATGAATTTTAAATTTACATTCTTAGTTTTGTGTTTTAATCTTTGTACTATGTAACTTAATATATGTGTTTTGTGGTATTGTGTTTTATCTGCCTTGAACTATGAGAAGAGGCGGGTAACAAACAATTAATAATAATAATAATAATAATAATAATAATTATTATTATTATTTGAAACACAACAAGATGAGTCCACAGCAAACAAGATCACTCAGCTGGCTGTTGTATTGGATCACATGTCGGACACTTCCCAAGTGTCTAGGACTGTGTGATGTATCGGCGAATAATGCATGCAGATCCCAGTAAGGTGGCCTTCTGCAGCTGGCAGATGGTAATTTTGTCAGTGCTGATTGTTTTTAAGTGCAGGCCAAGGTCTTTACACACTGAACCCAGTGTGCTGATCACCACTGGGACCACCTTTACTGGCTTGTGCCAGAGTTTTTGCAGTTCAATCTTTAAATCCTCATATCGTGTCAGCTTTTCCA